TGGAAATTGGGGGTTTGGGGGTCATTAATCACCTTGAGACCCTTTCCTAATTAATAAATCCTCGCTAATTAACTCTAATTAATTAAAGCAAATTTTTTGCGGCGCGTTCGGGGCTCAACGCCGCGGAGTTTCTGTCGTTTTTAGGCCTCAAAAAACGACAAAAATCCGGGGATTTTGGGCTTTGTGACCATCACTGATCCCCCTCTCGTGTTTCATTAATTAACCACCCCGTTAATTAATTAACGACCGCGGTTAATTAGGGCCACGGAGACGCACCAGCTGGCCGAGGCTAACGAGCGCAAGAACGAGCGGCTGCGCGCCGCCTTCGGCATCAGCGACTCCTACGTGGATGGCAGCTCCTTCAGCCCCGCCCAGCGGCCCAAGGAGCCCCCCCAGGAGCCCCAAAACCCGCCCAGGTACCCCAAAAACATCCTAAAAATAACCAGGGGTGAAAAAAACCCCAAAAAAATCCGCCCAGAAACCCCAAAAATAACCCAAAAACCCCAAAATCCCCCAAAAAATCCACCCAGAAACCCCAAAAACCGACCCCGAAACCCCTCCCTGAGCAGCTCCTTCAGCCCCCCCAGGAGCCCCAAAACTCGCCCAGGTACCCCAAAAATATCCTAAAAATAACCAGGGGTGAAAAAAACCCCCAAAAAATCCACCCAGGTACCCCAAAAATAACCCAAAATCCCCAAAATCCCCCAAAAAATCCACCCAGAAACCCCAAAAACCGACCCCAAAACCCCTCCCTGAGCAGCTCCTTCAGCCCCGCCCAGCGGCCCAAGGAGGCTCCTCCTGAGCCCCAAAACCCGCCCAGGTACCCCAAAAATATCCAGGGATCCCCAAAACCCCAAAATCCCCAAAAAAATCCTCCCAGGGACCCCAAAAATCCACCCAGAAACCCCAAAAACCGACTCCGAAACCCCTCCCTGAGCAGCTCCTTCAGCCCCGCCCAGCGGCCCAAGGAGCCCCCCCAGGAGCCCCAAAACCCGCCCAGGTACCCCAAAAATATCCGGGGATCCCCAAAACCCCAAAATCCCCCAAAAAATCCACACAGGGACCCCAAAAATCCACCCAGAAACCTCAAAAATCCACCCAAAAACCGACCCCGAAACCCCTCCCTGAGCAGCTCCTTCAGCCCCCCCAGGAGCCCCAAAATCTGCCCAGGTACCCCAAAAACATCCTAAAAATAACCAGGGGTGAAAAAAACCCCAAAAAAATCCGCCCAGGTACCCCAAAAATCCACCCAGAAACCTCAAAA